TTATCTAACAATGATAAATAGGGTGGTGAACATTATAACAACTTGAAGGCGAAGAGCAAAAATACACCCTAAATTGTCTTTGTTCACATGCTTGAAATTATAATTTTGCTCCTTAATTCCGTAATAAAAGTGTACATTGTTGATGCTCAAAGTCACTTGATCAGCAATATGAAATTACGAATTAAATAAACTTTGCTACTAGAAGGCGCAATGTTTGAATTGAAAATATAGGACTCTATAGCTTGTCCGTGCATGAATGATATCAAATTTACCCTGATCACGCCGTGTTCTAAGCTTAGAGACTATGGTGTTGATCACGAGGAGCCGTAAAATTTAGTAGACAAATTATGTGATATATTGTTTCCGCTTGTATCTTTTTGTTTTTTATATAAGAAAAGTTTTTGGAGATAGGAGACATGGGGTCGTTTGATCAGGAAGCTAGTACTTTTTAATTGCTCTTAGCAAAAGAAAGTCACTTACTTTTGTAGTTGATGACTAAATCTTAGATCTTGGTTCTTTTAAATAGTTTTGTACGTGTTAGAGAATAAAGCTACTTTTGCAGTTCGATGACTAAGTCTTATGAATAATTCGACTTGCATAATCCTTTATCATTCTCATTTATATATATATATATATATAATATACACAATTGGTTGCTTGTTAATTACAAATTCAATGTTTTATTTCTCCTGCTTCTATGAACTCGAGTTTGAGCCGTGAATTAAACGAATATTTATAATACTTTTCATGGAAAAGTAATTACCCCTTCTAGGGGTGCAGTGTCATAATCATAAATAGTCTATTTATAAGAATTTTGATAAATTAATTCGCGCAGTAATTTGCTGCATAATTATATATTTGGGAGAATTGAGAGTTCACCTGAAATATTTCATCGCCCAATAGCATTTGATAGAACCACATCTCACATAATTAATTTTTTTTTTCTCCCCTTAGTATGTGGGTCGTGCCGTGCGCATGGGCTTCGCAGAATCCGGAGGAGACGAACAAAAATCATCTTCAGATTCTTTTTTCTTAATCAACTAGGTTCGGAGATTCGGGCTATTGAAATTCGATCAAACAGCTACAAACAGAGATCTACTTTAAAAGTTATAATAACTTTAGCCGTTGGATTAAATATCAACGGTCCGAATTTCCAGATTTGATGGATTAAGAGAAATGAATCTTTAAAAGATACATTTTTGCAATTAAATATCAACATCATCTTGACAACAACGTTGTATTGATTTATGTTTATCAAATGTACACGTCATATTAATAACATCGACAACATATTAACCACACCAAAAATGTATAAAAAATATCTATTGAATATGAACGTCATTAACACGAGTACAATATCATCATCTCCGTCGTCCGAATCACTTTCCAAGTCGTGAGCAGCCCCGTGCACACGCCCCAAGTGCATAGGTGAGAAAAACTGATAAAAATGAAGATGTGGCGTTTGGGCTTTATATGCGATTGGGCTAATTGGACAGGGAATTAGTAGGCTTAAAGAAGCATGTATAAGGCCCGTATAAGGTGGGTGAAACCTCAGACTACCTTTTAAATTGTTTTGAAATTGATAAGAAGACAATGAGAAACTATTGAGGTCAAAAGATAAACCAAGTCATTCGTACGATCATATATGTAAAAATCTAAATTATTTATATTACAGTAGGATTTCACTACTTACCTATGCAACTAGAACTAGAAGAGTGCCGTGATTCACCCTTTGCAGCTAATAATTTATTAGATAATGCTAGCAACTTTCTCACTTATCTTTTCATTTCAACCTTTTTACTTAACCTCATGCCATGTGTATCCTACTAGCACGCAAAATTAAAAATTTAATTACTTTTTAGTAGACAAACTAAAATCTTTATTATACCAACCAAAGAAAAAAATAGTTGTTTTTTATTATAAATATATTGGCAGGCATTACGGTTTATTCTCAAGTTTCAAGAATCCCAATAAAGAACCCTAAATTTAAGTCCTATTCAACAATTAAATACCTTCAAAGCAATAAAAACTGGCGGTCAGGGTTCGAAACCCGTTGTTGGTGTGGAAGTCAGGCCTGTGACCAGGGGCTGAAATGCCTTTGTGAATCTTCTTGGGCCAGGAAAGAGGTGGATAACTGTGGTTTGCCACTAGTTGTCTTCCTTTAAAAAATTAAAAAAAAAAAATTCATGTGGAACCTATTGTAATAAAATAAAATTCTTATGGAACCTATTGTGATTACGGAAGACAAGTCTCCGGACACCTAATGCTTAGTTTTCCAATACTCATTGGATGTCCGCAATCCGTGTATATGTGTACATATACAATATACATATATGGTCCTTTCAATTTAGGGTAACGCTACGGATACTAACTTTTAGGCCAGCTTTTGTAAATCATATGATATGGTTGTTGATTGAAGTATATCATAGAGACATTAAGTTGCGGAATCTCTTAGTTAATTTGTACTTGAATATCTATTCTTTGATACCATTTTTTTTTTCTTACCTCTTTTATGCTTAATTGTATTTCCAGTAAGAATATACTACTGCTATGGACATATGGTCTGTGGGTTGTGTTCTAGCTCAATTGCTTCTTGGACAGGTATAAAAAGTTCTGCCAATTTTTTCGTTTCAGCAGAAGATGAATTCACATTTGGTTGTTTTGTTCCTCTTTGTTTTAGGTGATCCCCGGCGCTGTAGCCTCTCTTCCCAGGTGAAAGTGGCGTTGATCAACTTGTTGAGATTGTGACTTCTGCACGGTGGAAAGTACGTATCCATCATGTGATCAACTCAAAATCTTGATCAGTCGGCTTATGCAACCTGAACTGGATTGACATTTATCTCTGGAATTAGGTACTCGGTACACCAAATCGTGAGGAAATCAAACGATGAACCCGAATTATATACAGAATTCAAATTCCCACAAATCAAGGCTCACCCTTGGCACAAAGTGAGTTTCTAGCTTCCTTGCTGGGAATTGTTCTTCTGCGATGATTTTGCGTGTTATTTTCCTTCTTATTATCTTCCTTGCATGCAGGTATATATTCCACAAGCGCATGCCTCCTAAAGCAATAAGATTCACTGCAGTAGGTAGCCATTTTCCCTCAAAACTTTATGCGCTAACTGCAGAGGAATGAGGGTTTATTTGCTCTCGCTCTCTTAACCGAACGGATACTGAGTGTTCAGCTTTTTATTCTATCAAACCAGCAACTTAATTGCTTATTTTGGCAGCTTGAGGCGCTTGTCCACCCATTATTCTTCACCAACTCCGCGATTCTAAGGCCTGGTTTGGTACTGAGGTGATTCTGAAAAAAATATGGTATAAAAGAAAGCTGGGAGCTGTTTTTGTGTTTGGTAAACATTCAGTTTTATTTTTTTTTTCTTCACAGTTTTGGGTAAAAAAAGCCAAAAACAAGAAGCTACAAAACTAAGCTTTGAAAAATCAGCTTTTTTTTCACATCTGTTTTATATAAAACTTTACCAAACACTATAATACTGTTTTTTTTTATTTTCAAAAGCACTTTTACAAAAAAATTTACCAAACACTCTGATGCTTTATTTCACAGTTGCTTATTCTCACAGCATAACAGAAGCAACTTTTTTTTCAAAGCACAGCAATACCAAACCAGCCCTAATACTCGTCTTCCTAAAGGACGCCCTTTGCCTCCTTTCTTCAACTTCAAGCCTCAAGGTTGTTATTCGTTTCTGCGATTGCGTACGTATCCATGTATATATGTGGTGCTGATCGATATAACGTTATTTGAATGATGATTGCTTATGCAGAGCTGAAAGGAGCAACTCTTGAGCTTCTGTCCAGACTCCAGACTGGTGCCGGAGCATGCCCGAAAGCAATGTGCCTTTCTAGGTATCTAGTTAAGCCTCGCCGAGACAAATCTCTGTGTAGCAACTGTACCATTAGTGTAATTTGCTCCTTCGTATTAGTGAAAAACAGTGTCCTTCTGGCTGATCCGTTATACTACTAAGACTCTGATAAGTGATTGGATCACCTATGGCAGCTGAGTGATTTGATCGTGGCTAAAGCCTACGTCGGCACCACCATCGGCCAATATGGTTCGCCAAGATGCCGGCCACCGGCCTTCGCCATGACCATTGCTAGCCATGATGCTGGTTTTATTTTCTGACGTTTGGAATAAAAATCCACGAAAATACCTACGACAACATGTTTGCGAGGAAAATAAATAATTAGGTGAGCAATTTTAAAATCCAACTGATACAAATATTAAAATATATCCTTGTATAAAAGAAAAAGGAAATTGCAAAGTTCTTTCTATATGAATTTAGGAACAATTATTTGTACTTGTGAACGTTACACAACGAATATAGTATATTTGTTGTTAAGCTACATGACCCACAGAGACACTTCTTTTCCTACCATCGTGTGATTCATGAGCGTTAAGAATCGAATTCAAGAAATGATGTGTAAAATACAGACTTGTAATTCATCTCTAACCATAAGGCACCTTGTAGTGATTCTTATAATTTCTTGATGAATTATAAGTGAAATTTATTAAGTGTCATGTGTAAAAAGCTGTAAAAAGTAAGAAGTGAAATGTTAAATCTCTTGACACGGAAAGATTAGGTCCCATGTGTTGAAAAAATTGACGTGTTTATTTCTCTCATCACGTAATTACGCATGTTACAAGTAAAAAGATAAAAAATGATTGAAATAAGCATTCAGATAAGAATTATGATGATATAACTTATTTATTTCTCTCAGCTTTAACTTATGTCACTTTTCACTAGGGAGCAACAAGAATCTTTAATTTCATACTCTCGAGAGTATGAAATTAACATACTTGCTTGTCCCACCACACTTATTCCCCCACCCAACCAAAGCAAAAGCAGGATTCCAAGAAATGGACCCCACTTTTGCTGCTTTCACTTTAACATATAACATTTAGTTAAATAAAAGAGAAACGCTATCCACACTCCAAATCATAACGTCAGAAGCTTGAAATACCAATTTTGTGAGAGGATTTGTGGATTAATTTAGAAATTTTATTAAAAATAAATAAATTAAAAATTAATAGTATTAAGCGAGCGAGTATTTGAAAGAATTTCACACAACGGCGTGTCGTTGTGCGTGATTCCAAGCGCGCACCGGGAGCAGGAGGACCGTCTTCCTTCCTCAGCGCTCTGGTTCGCGTTGCGAATATGTCCAGAGACTGTCTACGCAATTCTTTGACTTGACCGGCAACAGTTCTCTCTCTCTCTCTCTCTCTCTCTAGATTCAGAGGCTTTCTCTCTCTAGATTTCTCTCCACCGAGCTCTTCTCGCTTCCCTGCGAAATTCTGCCGGCCGGGTCTTTTTTTCAGCGGCGGAGCTCCCTTCGCATGCGCCGTACAAGGCCGCAAGGGGGGGTTTTGACGGAGGCGAAGCGCATTGCCGGTATTAACGAGGGGAGCTTCGGGATCAGTGAGGCCCCTTCTGCGGAGGTGATTTTTCTTTGATCGAGGCTGCTTCTGTTTTGTTTTTAATCGCAATTTTGAATTGTGGGTAATTAGTTGCTGGTATTGTTGTTTTTATTGTTGATTAGGGTTTTTATTTTGTGTTTATGTGGAAGTACTGGGAATTTTCTTTATGCTACTGATGAAATCCACTGTTTGGTTGCCGAGAAAAAGTAGGACATGAAGGGATATTGAACAGTGGTTTTTGATTTTCTTTTCTTTCAATAATTTGAGGGCAAGAAAAAGTGTTACGATTTCCTTCTGCATTTTGCCTCAATTCTCAGGAAACAGTTGGGGTTTTATGTTGTGTTTGGTATTGTAGAAAGATGGATGCTTTGTAGTTTTGTGGATGTTATGTTGCCTTTCAAATACTGGAATTAGGAAGTATTGGGGGGTTGGGGAGGCAGATGAGGTTGGTCCAGTTGAAATCCAACAGGTTTGGCCGTTGATTGCGTAAAGAATGCAAGCAAACTCTGAATGTGTTTAGCATGCAGAGGGATATTTTTAAGTTGTAGCGTAACGGATGCTGTACGCTTGGAAATTTATGCTGCGCCGTTTGGGATTCTTGAATTTATTTTGAAAAGGGCAGTGTTCATAGTATGATGTTAGTCGAGTTATGTCGTGTTCTTGCTTTATGGTGTCAAATACTAGTCGACTGCAATTCTAGCTCGACACGCTAAGTAATAGTCATGAATATGCAATCTCAGTTGTCTACTATAAAGCCTCTTATAGAAGTTGGATAATTAATATATTTTTTGACTTTTATAATCAAAATTTGCAGTTGTTTTTGCACTTATTCTTTCTGTGAATTACTTGGACAGCTTGGAAACCGCTGCGTGGGCCAAACACAGCTTACGGTGAAATGGTATTTGTTTTTTTATTAAGTTTTTTATTCATTCATTCATATAGTCATTCATTTCTTTTGGATCTAAAGATTATCCTTATTGCTAAATGTGGAAATTAGGCAGATGAGTTTTTGGTTTTTTGTTTTAGTTGTTATGCCCTGGACTTAGCTGGTTTAGAGTTGTATTGTTGGTGAACTATGTTTGTAGTGTTTGAGTGGCCCTTAGTTGACTAAAGTTGTCCTTTCTTCATGTAAAAAGAGTCCCTTTTACTTCTTTTAATTGTTTACGTGTATGATATAAACTTGTGCAGGATGGTGAAGACAGTAATGATTTTGACTGGAATACTGATGATGAGCTGGAAATTGAGAACTTTACGTTGTCTACTTCTTCAAGTTTGACAGTTGGTGGAGAAGCTATTGTGAGATCTGGGGAGGTAAACATATTTGCATTAGTTCTGAAATGATTTTTTGATTTCAAGATGTTTTTGGAGATGGTTAAAACAATCTATACAGTCTTAATGTCATCTGGGGCATAGACGAAATACTTCCCTGTTGTTTATGAAATTAACTGCACCTAATGTCTCTTAGAGGTATTTAGGCATTTCTCCATTGAAAATTTCTGAATCTACTTCTTCATACTTTTATCACTTTCGATGAGTTTGCAAACATTTATGGATAACTGACGATTTTTTAAATTGGATATGTAATATATGTTACTTAAATCTTCTTGAAGTCGAGCTCATCGGCCGGTCCCTCCAATACCAAAGTTCTTGATCACTTTGTGGCAATGGGATTTTCTGAAAAGATGGTTGTCAAAGCAATTCAGGAACATGGTAAGAGCATTGTATCATTTCATTTCAGTAAAAGTTTTCATACAAATGCTTCAATTATAACCTTATATAACACCGCTCTGATGGAATATCCAGGAGAAGAAAATACAGATTCAATTCTGGAAACCCTCCTCACATATTCGGTGAGTCAAGATTTCTGCTTTGGATACTTATTTTTTGCGATATGGATAATTTGGGTTTGGGAGTTTGGTATAACAGAACTCGCTTAATACTAGCCCATGCAAAAAAGGATTTACATTATTGTTTGCCGAATATGGCTATAAGACTGGATTCCTTATTTATTGTATTATCTTGACTAGTAGTAAGAGAGTTCTGTTAAATCAAATCAAATATGGTCCTATAAGAAATTATCAAGATGAAGGGGTCACATATCTTATGAACATAAGTTCTTCCTGCCTGAGAGTTTTCTTGATAATATTTTTTGCAGGCTCTTGAGAGTTCTCCTGAAGAAAAACAGGAAGTAGAAACGCTCCAGGAAGTAGAACCACAGGAAGTAGAACCGCAGGAAGTAAAACCGCAGGAAGCTGATTCCGATGACTTCTCTCTCGATGATTACAATGAGAGCTTTCTGGATGATTTTTCAGACTTGGATAGCTGTTCTGATACCGAGGTAGTTCATTGGCCTTGCTAATAAGTTGTATGTTATATTAGGTTTTCCCTTTTTGCCAAGCTTTTGTATTTTCCGTGTTTCCCCAATCCTTCAAGCGACAAAATATTACATCGTTTTCCAACATCATTAAAAATGCATGTCGCACTATTTGTGTGCTAACATGCCAATGTACACAGGATAGTGAGTTCATGACAAAGAGTCAAACACATTTTGCACATGTGTGTATCTCATAGAAATTTAATTTACCTATTGTGCAGGATATCATAAATCCTACATCGGAGAAAGGGAAGATAAGGGCCTTGGTCAATATGGGGTACACAATGGAGGAGGCCTCAATAGCAATCGAAAGATGTGGTATAAGTTTAGTTTTATCCATATGCATAATGTTGATTTTATGTTGCTTTTAGCATTTTCTTGTCCACATCTCCAGTTAGTTACTTATGCTTTGGTTCTTTTTGGATGATTATGTTGAAATCCTGGAAAATGCTACTTTTGGTATAATTTTAGACTCCAGAAAAATAAATAAAAGTGCATTCATTTAGTGTCTAACATCTCACCTTCATGTTGGAAATTTTTTTGCTTCCCTTGTGGGTAGCCGGGATCACAGTCATGTGCCCACAAATGCATGTCAACCCATTTAGTTACTTTTGCTTTGATTTGGATGATTAAGTTGATATCCTGTAAAATACTGTTTATTTATTTTACATAATTTCAGCGCCGAACCAAATGCATAGTCAGGAGAATTTCTTGGATAATGTTGACTAGAATATGTTTCATATATGATTTGGGGGCCAAAGAAACATCCTTCATAGCTGTATGCCCTGTTGGGATTCTGGACAGTAAACCACTTTCTGCTAGTTAAGCCAGTTTGTTATGCCATCCTTTCTGAAGTCTCCTTTTCAGTTCTGGTGTTTTGATTGCCTGTTTCTCCTTCCTTAGCCCTATTTCTCCCTTCAAACATTTCAGGTACAGACTCCACTGTTGCTGAGTTGACTGATTTTATATGTGCTGCTCAAATGGCACGGGCAGAAGATGCCCTTCTTCCAATTGAAGAGAAGGTATTTGCTGATGTATAATATAATAACCTTTTGCGGTTTTTTAACAAAATCAGTTTTATAGATTGTGATTGTTGTTTTACTTTTACAGCCTGGATCACATTCATACAAGAAGAGGAAACTTCTCGAGTATGAGATCCTAAAGAAGAAGAAGAGGCAGATGCGGCTTTGTGGAAACCAAGGGGATGATGATGAGACGATTCATCTCCCAAATCCAATGGTTGGGTTTGGCACCCCAACTGATCCATATGTGCTGACACATAGGACTCTCCCAGAGGCAGCTGTAGGGCCTCCATACTTCTACTATGAGAATGTTGCACTAGCTCCTAAAGGGGTTTGGACCACCATCTCCCGCTTCCTGTATGATGTGCAGCCGGAGTTTGTGGACTCAAAGTACTTTTCTGCTGCTGCAAGGAAGAGAGGTTATGTCCACAACCTCCCCATCCAGAATAGGTTTCCTCTCATGCCACAGCCCCCAGACACCATAGCCAAGGCATTTCCCTTGACAAGGAAATGGTGGCCTTCTTGGGACAATCGGGAAAAGCTAAACTGCTTGCAAACATGTATTGCGAGTGCTAAGTTGACTGAGAGGATCAGGAAGGCTATTGAGCAATTTGATGGGGAACCACCAGAGAGAGTCCAGAAGTATGTCCTTGACGAATGCCGCAAGTGGAATCTGGTGTGGGTAGGGAGAAATAAGGTCGCCCCACTTGAGCCTGATGAAGTGGAGATGCTTTTGGGGTTCCCAAAAAACCACACAAGGGGAATAAGCCGGACTGACAGGTACAAGTCACTTGGGAATTCCTTCCAGGTAATGAATTCTGTCTACATTTCATTACCATTTTCATCTCTCTCGAAGCTTCATAAGGTTCGTTAGCATTTTACTTAATAATTTGAACTTGTTGCAGGTTGACACTGTGGCATATCATCTGTCTGTGCTCAAGGATATGTATCCCAATGGCATCAACGTCCTCTCCCTCTTTACCGGCATTGGAGGGGCAGAAGTAGCCCTTCACCGGCTTGGTGTCCCTCTGAAAAATGTTATCTCTGTAGAGATCTCAGAAGTGAACAGAAACGTTGTGAGCAGCTGGTGGGAGCAAACCAACCAGAGAGGGAGGTTGCAGCACTGTTGATGACGTGCAGCAACTGAATGGCGATCACCTTGAGCAGTACATGAGCGAGTTTGGCGGATTTGATCTGGTAATTGGTGGGAGCCCGTGCAACAATCTAGCAGGCAGCAATCGACATCATCGTGATGGACTGGAGGGTAAGGAGTCGGCCCTTTTTTACGACTTTTTCCGAATATTGGACTTGGTGAAGAACATGATGGGAGGAAGAAACAATTGATTCAATTCTCTGTAAAGCTACTTGATTTCATGTTTAACCCTGTGCAAAAGTTTTGACCTTTTTCATGGGGAACAAACACTTGTAATTGGAGTTTCGAATTTATGTATAAAAGAGGTTTTAGTAACCACCACAATGTGACTCAGTGGTTGAGGACGAATTCCAGGCTTGTATTTCACACGGCATGTTTTGGGTTCGTTTCCTTGCACTGGTGAATCACATGATGGTGGTCAGGGAGAGGCTGAAATGCTCTACCCTGAAATGCCTCTATGAGTGTCGGTCTCCGAAAGAATGGAATGTCGTGGCAAAGACATCAGTTGGTCCCCTTTACGAAGAAAATAAAAATAGGTGAGGCTTCAGTTAGAGTTCATTCACCTCATTCTATTTTAATGGGCTAGACTGGTCCAAGTCCGACAGAAGTTTAAAGCCCGAACCATTAGGTGGCTGGCCGGAGCCCATCATGGTCCAGCCGGTTTCATTTATCTGTACAGTGAATTCTAGCAAATGTAACTCGGTTTTTATCCAGCAAGTTATCTAATGTCCTTAATTCATTTCTTCAGTTGATTAGAAATACTCTGGCAGTTCAATTTGAGTTTGTACTTGTTTCATTTGTGTGATAAATTCACAATTTTTTGTAGATTTAACTCGTGGGTTGATCTTTTAACTTGAACCAACCTAACCCGAGTGAACCCGAACAATCAAATCAAAACCCGAAATCAAATGAATTCGAACCAACTCTAGTCCGAATAGAGAAATTGAATTAGAGTCGGGTTGAACTTCCAAACTGTCCTGAGTTGCCTCAACCTGATATTTTGTTGAGGGGGACATAAATTAAAAAAACAAGGGTCCGCATAAAAATAATAACCCACTCAATTCCGCCAAAAGCAAAATTAAAACAACAATAAAAAACAAATGCATCAAAACCCAAGTATATTCGGGCTTGTTTAGAAGTGTTTAAAATAACTGAAAGTACTTTTAAATTTTAAATTTTAACAGCAATTGAAGTGTTTTCTGACTTTTCCAAAATTAAATTGCGTTTTTATTAAAATTATTCAGTCATTTTTAAAAGTAGCATTTACAACCCAATTAAACTTCTTTCCCCCTCCCTCTACCTCTATATATGTTGGGTAATCCCCTTGACTCTTTCCTCTCTCTCTACGCTTCTCACCCTTCGGAAGCGTAGGTTCTTCACTTTCGCACATCCAAAGGGGGTTTCTCTATTAGATCTCGTCGGAGCTTTTCTCGTTCCCTCCGCTCTCCCAAACAACGCCGTCAGGTCCGATTCTCTCTGTCCCTAACCCTATTTCTCCCCGTCTCTTAGATCTCTCAGAGCCGTACGTTTGTATTTTTCCGTTAGGTCAAATCAAATGCACGATTCGATTGAGTTGGTTCTAGGGTTTTTGCATGTCCGATTTTCTCGTCGATTCTCGAGAAAATGATAGGGAGAGAAAGCTGAGACTTCATTGCATGCTTTGCTTTATTTTTTAGAATAATAGTTGCTTGACTTTGTTTTCGTTCGTTTTTGTAATTTTCTCGGGAACCAAACAGAGATAAGCTTATTTGACACTTGGTCGGTGGAAAATCCATAATGTAATCTCTTCTCACTTTTACATTTGGTGCAGATTTTCTGCTTCGTGTAACTATGAAATTTTCATAAATTTGGGATTGGTATTTTATTTTTTTTTGTTCAAAATTTGGGCTTTAATTTTATATCCTCTAGCGTTTGTTTTGCATGCTTTTTGACATACGTTCGGCACAATGCATGTGATTTGCTTTGACATATTCATCGATTGGTGTATATTTATCTCAATTTGTTACTTATATGTGCATTTTCTCTTTGTTTTTTGTTTTTTTAATGTTATAGTGTAGTGCTCTCTTCCCATGGCTGCCACTGCAACTGCTGCTGGTCCTCGATATGCTCCGGAGGACCCAACTCTCCCCAAACCATGGAGAGGTCTGGTTGATGGTAAAACTGGGTATCTTTACTTCTGGAACCCGGAGACCAACGTTACCCAATATGATAGACCAACGAGCTCAGCACCTCCATCAAAGCCCTCTTCTGCACAGTCTATAAGTTCCTCGGTTCATGTTCAACAATCTTCACAAGGGCAACGTCGTCCTGATGAGGGAGATGATAGGTATAGCAGAGGCAGCAATGGTGGCTCGAAATTTGACACAGGAACAAGAACTCAGCAGGTAAGCTTGCCACTTGGGCGACTTCTTATACATTTGCAGCTCCCTGCAACCTGATTGGTAAACGTTTTCGTATGGGAACTGATATGGTGGTGTTGTTTGTGAATTAGACTGCAAGAAGTGCAACAGTTTCTCATAATACCCCAAGTGGGACACTAAGTTCACATGGAGGATCTTCTGTGAAAGGAAATGGATCAGACACTGGAAGTGGTTTGTCTGCTGAGGCTTATAGTCTCCGCCATGAAATATCAGTTGTTGTGAGTATTAAGAAATTTCTTATACAGACGTTATATCATAGTGTTTATATTGGTTTTTCTTTCTTGTTTGTATGTGGTACTTAGTCATTCTGTTTTGTACTTTTACCATCTATCTTTTCTCCATAGGATCTGTGGTTTTAAATCTCTATATTTTCTGCCTGCATGCATTTGCATTGGGATTGGTTGGGTTAGCCTGATCTTTTGTAGCTTTAAGAATGTCTCTTGGGGCTTGTGCATAATATGTATGTGTGTATTGTTGTATGGTGCAAAATGTTTTGGTCTTGCACTGTGAGAGATGTTTCTCATATGTGATCAGCTGATTGTATTAGGAGTATTCGATGGAGTAACGTCATCACCCCTCTCTCTCTCTCTCTCTCTCTCTCTCTCTCTCTCGTCTTATCATTGTTATCATTAAGCAGGATTATTATTACTGTTATTATTAAATTGTATAGCTAGTTAGCTACTAAGGTGAATTCGTGATTTTGTTATCTAGTAGCTGTTATGATTTTTTAAATGTTTCTTATGTTTGTCCTGAAAATGATCTGTTCTGTGGCTGCCTGATATCAACTTTTGGTCTGCTCACAGAGTCAATTGATTTACCTCTTTTGCTAGGGTGATAATGTGCCTCCACCATTCACTTCATTTGAATCTACTGGCTTCCCATCTGAAATTCTTAGAGAGGTATTGAATTATGCTTCTGCTTTTGTGTTTCATTTGAATAATACTGGTGGCCATTAAGTGTAAGTAACCTGAGTGTTGTGTGCAAAGTTACGTGATTGCTAGAGGTCCAATGTTGAGTTTCAGACTCATGTTAATTCTTTTGCCGTCTGTACTTTTTGTCGCAGGTGCGATATTTGCTCCTGAGCGGAGCTAATGTCGTACGCTGTGCTGCCCTCTTTGTGGGGGCTTGCATTTAATTTGGAGCGCCCTTTTGCGTGGACCAATTTTTGGGAAGGGCTTTCCAAATCACCCAAGTTTGTGGCTGGGCCTGCTGTTGGTGATTCAGTCTGTCACTTGGCCCGAATGAAAGAAGAGGCCTCCTCCTGCTCCAGCTTGCTGTTGCAAGCTTTGGTCACCAGCAATGGGGGTGTTGCTTCTTCTGCCATTCCACTGTTCTATAAGGCCAAAAAGAAAAAAAATCCAAATCTTTAAGTCATTACCTCTGCTTATGGGGGTTCCTGGAATTTTTTCTTTTTCCAGGTACAAAGTGCTGGTTTCTCTGCCCCAACTCCAATTCAAGCACAATCTTGGCCGGTTGCTCTTCAAAGTAGAGATATAGTAGCCATTGCTAAAACTGGTTCGGGGAAGACCTTGGGGTATTTGCTTCCAGGATTTATCCATCTCAAGCGCACCCGTAATAACCCTCAGATGGGTCCAACTGTATTGGTTTTATCACCAACTAGGGAGCTGGCAACACAGATTCAAGATGAGGCAGTGAAGTTTGGGAAGTCATCAAGGATATCTTGTGTGGTATGTAACTTCTTGTCCTTTTTATGTTTTTCAGGTTAATCAATAAAAATGTCTTCAAGGATGGTATTGTTTGATGCTGCATATTTGTTTGTGTGCATACATTATATAGTTAAATATTTTCCTGCTTGTGCATTCAGAGAGTTGCAATTATGGTTATCAAATTCCAGTGCTGCCTGACTCGACTTATTGAACCTTTAACTAAGTACCTAGTCTTTCAACTGCGTTGGTTCTAAAACTGACCCCTTACTCTTGAACCTGGCCACTGAAACTGACTTGACTTGACAGATTATATTAGGGGTTCATTCTGTTTTCTTTGCTTTAGGTCTTTTCCTTGGGGAAAATAATATTATGGATTAAATTGGCCATGTTTCTGTCTGTATTAAGTGATGCTCTTCCAAGGCTTCGGCTGGTACCCCTCTTTAATTTTAGAATCCCATCAAGGCATGTTATTCCACTAATATATTGAACTTTGAGAAGTTTTCTTAAAGTAGATTATACTTCAATGTCCTCTGAAATTTTTTTCAGCTCCATTTTATATTGTATTCTCTGATTAAATGATTTTAATTATTTATTTTTGTTCAGTGTTTGTATGGAGGAGCTCCAAAGGGACCACAGTTGAGAGATATTGACCGAGGAGCAGATGTTGTGGTTGCCACTCCTGGCCGCTTGAATGATATTCTTGAAATGAAGAGAATCAGTCTCCATCAAGTTTCTTATTTAGTGCTGGATGAGGCTGACCGGATGCTGGACATGGGGTTTGAACCACAAATAAGGAAGATTGTGAAGGAGATACCTGCTCGTCGCCAGACCCTAATGTATACCGCAACTTGGCCAAAGGAGGTTCGGAAGATTGCAGCGGATCTACTGGTCAAACCTGTTCAGGTTAACATTGGCAATGTTGATGAACTGGTTGCGAATAAGTCTATCACACAGGTATGTTAACTCAAGTAATGCTGGCCATAGTAAAGTCCATAGTATGTTGGCTTATCTTGTGTGTGTTTCCTTATATGTTAGGATATCACTCTAGGTGATCAGGGGTGATCAATTAAGAGTTTTAATTTAAAAGATAAAAAGCATTTACATATTTGTTCCCTTTAGCCGGTGTGGAGGACTTAACTATTAGCTTTTATATTGTTTATGTTTTATGTAGAATATAAATTGTCATACAGCTTAACTAAAAAACATATCCTGTCTTACAGTACGTTGAAGTACTGACCTCAATGGAGAAGCACAGACGACTGGAGCAGATATTGCGTTCTCAAGAGCCAGGGTCTAAGATAATTATCTTTTGTTCGACCAAGAAGATGTGTGATCAACTTTCTCGCAATCTAACCCGCCAGTTTGGAGCTGCTGCAATTCATGGCGACAAATCTCAGAGTGAGAGGGATTATGTGTTGAATCAATTTCGTTCTGGGAGGACTCCAATTCTTGTAGCAACTGACGTTGCAGCTCGAGGATTGGACATCAAGGACATAAGGTTTTGTACTTCCCAGCTTCTTGTTACATATTTATTTCTGTTAGAATTGAATTATATTTTGGTTCTGTGGTTTGGTGAATCACCTTTCATTCTTTCAATATGAGGTTATTATTTTGTGGTGTTCCTTTCTGATAGGAGGATTGTATTTGTCGGGGTCATTTTAAGATAAACTACGAGTAGTTAAATTTTGTTTGGCTGTCTATTTAAGATTTTTCTTTGAGGGTGTGCGTAACTGGTTTATTGCTTGAACAGTACCTTTTGCATTATCTTTCTTATTTGTAAGAAATTATTGGCCAAAATTATAATGGTAATTTTTGTTAACAGGGTGGTTATCAACTACGACTTCCCTACTGGAGTAGAGGATTATGTTCACAGGATTGGGAGAACTGGAAGAGCGGGCGCCACTGGCCTGGCTTATACATTTTTTGGTGATCAGGATGCTAAGTATGCATCAGATCTCATCAAAGTTTTGGAAGGTGCAAATCAGCGAGTACCCCCAGAAATTCGTGAGCTGGCTTCCCGTGGTGGTGGGATGAACAGGTTCAGACGTTGGGGTTCTGGGCCCAGTGGTGGTCGTGATGGGGGTCGTGGGCAAAATGATTCAAGTTACGGTGGAAGGGATGGTGGAAGGGGAGGAGGATATGGATTTACTCCCTCTTCTGGCAGGTAAATTTGCTTCTTCTTTCTCATTTAAATTCAGGCTGTTTAATTGCATCTGCTTGCTCGTTATGTCAAATGTGATTGCCATCATACGTTAGTATTGTGAGAAGTGATGGCTGGAAATGCATTTTCTTGTATGTGACAGGTATGGTCAATCCAATGGGTATGATAGAGGCCGCAGTCCCAGCCCTGTCAAGGCGTCGGGATATAGAGCCCGTAGCCGTAGTCCTGAGAGGTTTGACAAGGCTCTGCCAACAGGTGGTGGCTCTGCAGGTGGATGGAGTTTCCACAAAGCAATGATGGAAAGGGAGCGGTCATCGCCTCCACGTAGACGCAATGCTGAGGAAGCTGAGGAGGGAATGATACATCCAGAGTAATTTCACACATCTAGTGGCATCTGCTGTGGTGCTGTCGTTTGTTTTTTGTGTCTCGCCGGTGGGTTTGTTTTTTATGTTTCGCCGGTGTGTTAAGTGTTGTAAACCGACGTAGGGCAAGCTTCACGAGAACTACCAGGATGCAACTGTTTTGACTAATTTGTGGTCGGTCGGGCTAAACGCTTTGATGTTAACCCTTGCTGAACCTCATCTCTCTCTCTCTCTCTCTCTCTGTTTACTGTCCTGGTCACCATTTTTGGTCTTTCCCTTTTTGGTAGGAAAAAGGGCACAAATATGTAGTACAGTAGAAAGTACTGGTTTTAGTTAATATTTAAAAGTGTAAGCAATTTGTAGTTTCTACAATATGCAGATGAATTATTATCTACATCTAATGATCTAATCCATTGTTGTGTTTACTTTTTGACACATTGGCAAATGACTTCTTTTGAGAGCAATTTGGACCGAAATGGTGAGGGAAAACTCACTATTTATAATTTTTTAGTGGTTCAATTTTTGGTGACCTACAAGTTTAGGGGAGTAAATGACACCTTCAACAGAAAGATTTGTGATTCTCTCTGGATTTCTATGTTAGGAGCTATGTCCTCGAATATTTGGATCATTCATTTTAAATACTGTAGCCTTCATTAGTTCATTTTACTGTCCTTCCTCATACAAATCAATGATTTAGATCTCTCTCTATCTTTTAAAGACTTGGATATCTGGGTCCTTAGACCAACTCCAACAATGGACTAAAACCTATAATTTCCCCCCCCCCCCCCAAAACAACCAAATTCACTTCAACTCAGGACCTAAAATAACCTAAAACCCAAATGGAGGTCAATACCAGCCCAAGTTTAGGCCACAAATTGCAGTGGACCCCAGCTTCTGTAACTGAAACCTGGGCTGTGAAACCCAATTGCCCTCTTTCACTTGCTCCACGTGCAGCACGCAAGGCCTTCAACCTGCATTCAACTGAGGTGGACCCCACCCACGTGGGGGTGTCCCCCTGTTTGTCAAGTTTTGTCTGTAGCCAACGGCTACTTTTCTTCATCGGGTGGTGGTGGTAATTGGACCGTTGGTTAATCCAATGGTCCACATTCAAATATTTTTTTTAGATTTATATTTATATATTTTTTGAATCCAACGGCTTAGATCGAATATAATCAAATCTAACAGTAAAAAGAATATCTAACGGTCCAAATTAAAATCCAACTGCTAAAATAATTTAAAAAATATATTTAACTCAAAATTCAACCAAAAACTCTATAAATACCTATGTATTTGTTCAAACATCCACACAAAACTCACTTTTCTCGTACAATTCTTCCAATTTTTTTTTCTACCATTTCTTCTCATTTCCAAAATTTTCAAGATGGCAAAAGAGAATGTTAGAGGTCGTAATTGGACCTTTGACGAAGATATTGCTTTATGTTTGTCATGGATTTCTATTAGCGAAGATGGTGCCGTCAGCACGAATCAAAATAGAAAGGTTTTGGGGGGTAAAATCATTGATAAGTTCCATGAAAACTCCAACGCCGGTCAAAGGGAAGTTGGCGTGTTTATGATCAGTGGAAGATTATCAGTAAAACGTGCACTTTGTGGAAGGGAAGCTTGGAGAGAGTCATGGTTGATGCCTAGTGGAAGGGGCGCCTCAGAAATTGTGAGTTTCTTTGTTGATATTTTATTTGTCATGTATATAATAGTATTTTGCAACTAATTGTTTTTATGTATTTGTTGCATAGGGTGACAAAGCAATGTCAATTTAGAAGACAAGAACTACACCAAAAAATCAAGCTTTTAAGTTGCATCATGCTTGGAACATCCTCAAGGATTGTCCGAGGTGGGGAACCGATGCGGACCATCAATGGAGAAGATTATTTCATAGTGAAGCCCCACCCCAAATGATGTCAATGAAGGTGTGAATTTTGCCGACAATGAAGGTGTCAAACAAATTACCCCAACTTCTTTTGCAAGGCCCCCGGGTAGAGATAAGCAAAAGGAAGCAAAGAGAAAAGGGAAGTCCCAAGATCCAATACGTGCACAATTTGCTAGCGAAATGGTAAGAATGAATGAAAACCATATCTCTCGGCAAGAAGAATCGGCCAAAATGCATTTGGCCATGAAGGAACAAGGGGATAGGGAGCAAGAAAAGTTCGAAATTAATTTGATGATGGAGGACCTTGACAAATACACTACAGAGAGGAAGAAATACGTACGTGGTAAGCAAAAGGACATTTTACGAAGGGATGTCACAAGGAGTATATTTTAAGATGACGATTCATCTCATGACTATCACCCAAGTCCATCACCAAGTCAAGATGGTGGATATCACTATTAAGTTTATGAGTTTTCGATTGTATTAAGTTTATGTGGTTTATTAATTGTCTTTTTTTATTTTTTATTTTTTATTTTTTAAGTTTATGCGGTTTATTAATTGTCATCTGTATTAAGTTTATGTGGTTTATTAAATGTCGTTTGTATTAAGTTTATGTGGTTTATCATGATTTTCATGTATTGATTTAGTGATTTTTCAAAATTTATCGGAATTTAAATATTTTTTGGTTAAAATGTTCATATAATTAATTTAGGATAGTCAACATAATTTTTTTTAAAGTTAATTTAAAAAAAAATAGCCTTAATTTATTCTTTGATAATCTCGGGCTAAAATTTTTGGCCAGAAGGATTGGAGCAGAAAAGCTGTTTCTAGGCTAAAACCTAAATTTTCTGGGCTAAATATTTTTGAGGTTTTAGGTCACCATTGGAGATGGTCTTAGGCTCTAAACATAGTGATCCGTTTAGACACAATGATCCGGAGAGGATCTTGAATCCAATTGAAATTTAGAAAAAGATACAGTAATGTGGGAAAATAAACCAACACATATTGTCGTTGGGAGATTGACCAGGGAAAAAAATTATCATTTCTACGAGAGAAATTTCGATAGGATTGCTTGACAAGTGCAGTCCTTATACTAGTGAGATTAGCATGGGGTGGGGTGAAGTAAAACACGAGGGCAGCAGACTCTTTGTGAGAAACTTTAGTAGGGTTGCTTCATTAGTGAAGTTTGAATAGGTGAATACTGATCGAATTTGCGTGGAATTGAGCGAAGTAAAAACATAAGGGCTCTCATAGTTTTGTTTTTGTTAGAGATGCCTACAAATAACGTAGTCAGACATTCTTATTCAAGTTTTTTTTTCCCTCTTTATGGTGCGACCAGAGTTCTTATATTTCACATTTTGTTTACTTTTTATCTTTGTAAATATTAGCTTCCCGTTTCTTACAAAAGTAGAGTATTTTCAAGTCCAATCAAATCGTAATTAAAATGTTTGTTAAATTTCAGGTGGATTGTAAAATATTGCTTTTTCTATTTCAGCGGATAAAGAGACTAAAGGTACTGAATTTAGTGCATGTTTGTCATGACGAATACAGCCAAAAATAAAGCTAATATAATTGACTATTTAAATTTATTTATTAAGCCATTTTATTGAAAGTAAATCACATTAAAACTAAAACTAATTATTGCTAAAACACAGCCCTCATGATAACAAGTGCAATTCGAGACCGCTTATTTTTAGAGCTAATAAAATTCCCCATATTTATTCCTCCTAGTCAATGAATTTTTTTTTCGGTGTGTTAGAAATATAGTCTAATAAATCAAGTGTTAAAAATACAATTTGTTGGAATTTTTTTTTTTCAAGTTTCCAATTAATTATATTATTACACTTGATGCACCGCGCCTATTCCCTGCACACTGAAAAACCTCTCCTCCCAATAAAGTGTGGAGTGGAAGTTGAAAATAAATTAAGCAAAAAACTAAATAACTAAAATAGTCAAATAGTTTTATGCTTGCTGTGTAACTGTAGAAATTTTAAATTCCAATGCAAAATTATGTTAATACCTTAATTATTATGAAAATAATTAAATATATATCCAATAAATTAGATACCAATTTAGGAGGATACTTTCAAAACTTCAGTTACAAATATATTGTTACAAAACCAGCTGAAAATTACTTCATTGCCCAAATCCTTATCTATAAGTTATTTGTCTTATTATTTTATGTGTCAAATTATTAAAAAATCATTTTAATTATTTTTAAATGGTAAGTTTAGGATATGGATGTTTGTATTATGAGATTCAAGTACTTGAGTCTTGCAAAATGCATATATGGTCAATATATTGAGCCAAATTTAAGATTATGCCAAAGCAAATGGTTCACATTTTCCATATATTTGGTTTGAACACCTTCCAAATATGCATTTACAATTAACAAGTGTGATTTAGATAAAACTAGACGAGGTGGAAAGAAAAGATAAGACTGAAAAGAAAATCATTTGGTAGTAAAATTAATTTTTAAAGAAATTATTTTGGTAGCTTTAAATTTCCTCTATGAAATTAAGAGGAGGAGCTAATTCCTAGGCTCCTATTGCCTCTTTTTGGTAAGAGTAATGCTAGGTCGATCAAAATTTTAAATTAAATTTTCAAATATATGATGTGTTAGCAGTAAAAAAAAAAAGCACGTTAATCAACATTTAAGTAATAATTTAATTATCAACAATTATGTCATATGATTTACAAAATTTAATTTAAAGTTTTGATCTCCCTAATATTATTTGTAATTAAAATGTAGTTTTTAAACTAGAATGAATTTAAAGGGAGTTGGAAATATGTTTTTTCTTAGTTAGAAAATGCAAGAAACATGTCTTTTATGATTTTTGTTGTTATTCTGAGTGTATTTCTAGTTGATACTCATTGTTGGATCTGCCATCGACGGTTGTGGCCTTATAAAAAAAATAAATACACCGTGAAATGCATTGTTTTCATATATGACTATGTCACGTCATAAAACAGAGCTATGGGCAATACATGTCCACCATGTGTCATAACCCGTCTTACAATTTCCCTAAAATACAAGACTAGTATAACAACCTAATAATTTTTTCCCTATGTTTTATTTTATTTTATTTAAATTTTTTCAATTTTTTGTTTCAAAAAATAAGGAAAAAAAACATGGCAATGGGAAGTTCAATGGACACAGACCTGGAAGAAATATGAGCCCTTTGATGGTAGATATGGCCCTGCAACGCTCGATAGGCAGTGGGCTCCACATTTGCCTTGCTCTCCCTCAAACCTCACTTATAAAAAAACCCAAGAATTTACATCAGCTTGCACACATTAAACCAGCCTTCCTTCTTGAGCTTTTGTTTCTCTCTCTAGAGCCCTGAGACTCTCTCTGCTTGCATGGAGTACTTGGAAACCAACTTGAGAGAATTAGATAATTTTCCTTTGATTTCCACCCTTCTCTATGGTTCTTCAAACCCTCTGAAATTGATGAAACCAGAAAACCCTCCTCCCACCACCATCAAAACCACTACCACCAATGGGAATCTTTATTCTCTCTCTAGATCCTCCCCTCCACCACCCAGTTCTCCTAAGGCTTTGTTTCATCACCCCAATTCCATAAATCATGGGTTTAATCGCGTTTCTCATTCCCATGAGTACAATCTCACTCCAAAGACTGATCATTTCACAACCACTGAGGCCGGTTCTTCATCCAACCCCTTCAGCAAGATTTCAACCACATGCAACACCCTTAATAACCCCTTTGAACCTTCACCTTATACCCCAAATTATCACCGCCATCATTTCGTGATATCCGATTGTGGCGAAAGCGAATTGGTGGCGATGCATGGATTTCATGATGGTGTTAGAGGCTGTTTGGGTTATCGTCCCGACCATCAAGAGATTCCTCATGACCAGCAGATGGGGTCAGAAAGCTGTGTGCAGCTCCCACCATTGGTAATTTATGGTGAATTCGGGTCCTCATCAGCTCCAGCGATGCGTCTGCCTTCAGATGATATTCCAAGGCTCTCAGCTGATGAAAAGAAGAGCAAAAGGTTGTGCGAGGGAGGAGCCATCAAACTCTTGCACAAGAAACCTGATATAATAAAAGGCCAATGGAGTCCTGAGGAAGACAGGTATTTGGTTTTCCTGATTTTAGTCGATTATTTGGTTAATCACAGTGTTGATTTATATTTTCTTCATGTATTTTTCTGAATTTGGAGGATATACGATGCTTAAATCTTTTTTTTAAGAAGTCGAATTAGTTTTTTGATGTTCGGTAAGAATTGGTAATTAACTCAGTTAAATCTCTCTTTGCAGACACTTGGTACAATTGGTTGGCAGGTTTGGAATTAAGAAGTGGTCTGATATTGCTAACCAGCTGACGGGGAGAGTGGGAAAGCAATGTAGAGAAAGATGGCACAACCATCTAGCGGCCTGACATTAGGGTTTCATCCTTTTTCCCCTTAATTCTTCACTATTTCACAACCTTCATTAACATATAAATTACATACAAGCATATATATAGCTCATTTTCATTCACTAAAGTTTATTTATATTTTAAATAAAAACAAAAGATTTATGCAAATACATACAATTACTCATAATTTTATTAATGTATATACACACAAAGATAAATGGCTACATATATGGCATATGCACATATTTGGTTATATTTTTATTAAAAAATACTGTAATTCTAATTTTTTGACGTCTGTCGTAAAATATATAATTACTTTATTTGTCCGTTTATATGTTTGCTGAAGTTTTAATGGACATTGTATTGTCCAGTATTTGTCAATGTCTGCTTGACAACGCAGAAACATGCGTTCAACCAGCGGTTAAGGTGGATTGCAGAATTTGGATTAGATTCTAATAATTAACCATGACAAGTCATGAATTTACAAAACAACCCATGCCAGGGTTAGCTTATGCGTATATATCAGAATTCAAATTTATTTCAATTTGAATTATTAAATTATGGGTAACGCTAGAGAGACTATCTATTTAGACCATATTTTGTAAGTTATATACGTGGTTATTGATGATTAGGTCAATGCATTTTTTAGATCATATTTATAAACTATGTGATGTTTCACCAATAAGAAAGAAGCACGTTAATCATCAATAACTACGTGATATTGTTTACAAAATATAGTCTAAATAGGGGTCTTTGATATGGACCAAATTAGGCTAAAATCCAACCCATTCCGAGACATAAAATTTATTCACTTTTTAATTATAAGTTTGAATTATTGTATATTATTTATCTAAATTACTCTTCAATCCTTACTCTTTTGTAAATATGTAGTGAATTTTGATTGAATAATTTATAATGAAGTTTTTCACTGAAAAACAATTTATGATGAAATTCAAATTTTTTAATTTGCTTTTTCACATATATAAATGTACCTTCTATAATTATAAAAATGTTAATTATTATCATGATAAAAAAAATTATTAAGTTAATTTTGATTTGTAACAAATAATTGCATCGGATCAAGTAGGATTACCCTTTTTCCTTCTCTGATTTGATGTTATGGAACTAAGGTGACGATGCATGCATCTTGAGTTTTCCTAGTTAAAACCCTAGGACGATACATTAGCATATGCGTAGTACGTACTACATGCATTGTTTTCTACTTGGACATGCTAACAGAAAGTTGATCAGTTACAGATCAAATCTAGTTAGCTCGTGCATAACGTTGGTTTTAATTAAACGAGTTGTTGTTTACCAGATCAATCAGCTTTTGACTTTTATATATTATCTTAGAAGCATATGTATTCAGATACGTAAATATGTGCGTGAATATATTTCTCTCTCTGCACTTCATCTTCTTCCTCTGATCTTCATTCTCTGCCTCTGTTCATCTCCGCTTGGTTAACATACTCAGATAGTTAAATATATAGTGCGTTCATGCAAGTAATTAAATCTGTGTTGAAACTTGCAGAAAGAAGTGTGGAGCGAGGAAGAGGACAAGATACTGATCGAAGCCCACAAGAAAATGGGGAACAGATGGGCAGAAATGGCAAAGATATTGCCTGGAAGAACAGAAAACACCATCAAGAATCACTGGAACGCAACAAAGAGGAAGCAAAACTCAAAGAGGAAGAGCAACAAGCAGGACTCGTCCAATAACAATTACAATGAGAGCTCTATGTTGCAGGACTACATCAGGAGCGTGGTCAGTAGCACTACTACTGGTACTCCTAGTACTGCTTCCGCCAACTCTACCGGAACTATGGAGAACAAAGCGGTGCTGTCGTCTGTAGTCTCACCGTATCATCAGTCTGGGATGCACATTAATCAGAACAACATTGTCGAGAGCCCAGACGCAACCAACTCCGTGAATTGGGATCTCACGGGTTATCGTCCAGAACCTTTTGACAGTGAGGCCTCCAACATGAACAATCACATGGTTGATGGTGTTACAACTCTTTCTGATTTCGACAAGAGTAACATGTTCAATATTTTTGAAAGCTATGGACTTGGTGGGTACCTGCAGCAGAGAATGGCAAGCAGCAGCACTTCTAGGGTTAAGGATCCTAGCTGCAGCATGGAGTATGAACTGCCATTTTTTCCATTGGAGATGAACAACTTTAGGCAGGGGACATGATGACCATTTCAAGAAAGAGCTGGATAGTATGGAGATGCTCCATTTCAAGAGAAATATGTGAGCTTTCGTGCAGCTGCAGGAAGTGCTTTGTCGGCAGCCTGCCCCTAGCTATTTCGTATGTTGTCATTCTGTTGTTCTTTTTGTGCGTCATCAGGGTTTCATGTTTAGAAGCGTTCAGACTTGTATTTCCTTTTAGCATTTTCATTTGGATAGTTTCTAATTGGACCACAGTGTTGATGTTGTTTCAACCTTAGTTTTGTTTTGTTTTGTTTATGCATGTGTTTGTCCAAATTTGCTATCTATTTATTTATATAGAGATGTTTTGTAATATGCCATCTATATATGTCGTCGTTATTGTTGATATTGTCTATATTGTGAAGTTATAAATATCAAAATGTGGTCGATATGGTCATCGATATTCTGTTATTATTGTGCTCACAAGTACAGTTAACTGCACCATATAACAACTGTACTTTGATGACTATATATAATATATATGTGGTTTTATATTTAGCTAGAAATTCGAAATCCACATAAAGTGCTTAGAAAGTAAGCAATATGCATAATTGGAAATTGATTAAGATTGATGCAGATTTGTGATAGCTCTTTGTTCCAAATTGGCATCACTATTGTTAGTAAAGTGTGTAGGTTAACACTTGAGATCTTGCTTATGCCATGTTGGCCGTACCCGCGTCGCTAATAGAGCAATTAAGCCATTGTGGATACCATTATGTATAACGCTTCTATTTTTTAATTGTGGATAGAGCCAATTATGCAAACTTTGGTAAAAGGATAAAAAATAAATGGGAGAGATTTATGCACTCTTTGCGTTTGTTCTAGAAGCGCATCCATTAAGGTGAGTTGAAATTATAATTAATAGAAATACAGCATTTTGATAAGCAGTCTCAACAGACCTTGAGGTGCTTATATAGCTTATTTGGTTAACAACGTTTCCTATACTAAAATAAAAATTGTTTTGGAGGTAACAAATATATCTTTGCATGCAATATGATGAGCGCAAGCACACAAATATGTATGTATGTGTGTGTGTATATATTATTGAACTATTTTTTTTTTAGCAAACGATAGTATTTATACTAAGGGAGTAGGGGAGTGAGCTAAGTTTTACAGTGGGCTTTGCCATAATAATGTGGTTCAACATTGTCTTTAGCGCAAAATCGAACTTAAGACCTCTTACTTACAAGTGAAAATGAATACCACTAGACCGTAGTACTAAGTGACATTGAACTAATCTTTACAAATGATGATGATTTTCTTTTTTGCTTTCATATAGGGTTTTTATGGTCAGTTATGTTTTTGTTAACTCATCAGTTTGGTTCTTTATGTTTCAAACTCATTATTTCGTTCCTCATCTCCTAATTTAGTGATCAATGGGTCACTGCCGTTTATCTCCCCTAAAAGATCTGTTAGTATGTTGATGTAGCACCTATGTGAGGCCACACAGCAAATTACGTATTGCCAAATGGAGTAATAAAAAGATAAGGTTATAGTAGCTAGCAGCATTCTCATGATGAACCGTCCATTTTTTCTATACATATGAATGACTAAAAGATCTCCAAATTGAATAATTTTTGCATCTATGATCTTTAGGTAATCATAAAGAGAATGAATGATTTCGTTTATGGTGTTCAGATGGTAAATATTCGTTAATTATACTTCATAAGTAGGGAAACAAGTAAATCCTGTAGAGACACAAGCATTGTCCTTATATATTTACAATTCATGCATCACTAATTGGGCTTTGCCTTGAGTCTCTTGGCTCTTGAATACAAGAACACTCCTGCGAGATCTAGTACAAAGCTGTCCCTGCAATTTAACCCAGTCATGTTAAACAAGAAACCTAAACACTAGAATTGTGCCATATGTAAGAATGTGTCATACATGTAAATATACAAGGAACTTACCGAGTGCGTTTATCAGTGAGACGGGGGTTTGGAAGAAGATGACTGAGGAGACTATCACCACCACACGCTTCATACAGTTTCCGACTGCGTGAGTCACTGGTGATACCATCTGCAGTATCATATAAGAGACCTGCATAACCACGCAAATTTGCAAAAATAACCAAGCAATTATAACCATTACTCATCACTTCTAAGCCAAACACTGTTTGTACACATTAACTACTGAGATTTGTTACTGCAAGAAGTACGTAACTTCAATTTTCGGTTTAATTTAGAGAGAGTAGGAAACTGTGGTGTCAAGTGTGGAAGCAGAAGCCAGCCAGAAGTGATCTTACGCATAACTCTTTGATATTCAATCCTTGGTTTGCCTGGTATACATGTAATATTATCAATTATACAGCAATGTGTACAGAAAAACTAGCTACTTGAGGAAGCACTTCTAACTGCTTTTTTGGGAAGCGCTTAGCAATAGTATCCACAGCAGAGTGCAGGTAAGAAGGAGTAAATTTAACGCCTTCCAATAGAATTGCCAAAGGAACCAACAGGATGAAGGAAATGATAGTGATCACTGAGAAGAGATTGATATTGTCCAAAGATTCCTAATCACAAAACAAAATTGTTAAGCCTCATGAAGAAATTCTGAAAATAAGGAAATTGCATCTGTAGGTTAATTAGTTTTACCTCTTTTTTTAACCATGAACTTCTTGTTGAGTACATTACGTGATTGGTTTGTAACATTAGAGGCCATTGCACTACCGAAACCGATCCTGTTGTAGAACATACAATAGTTAAACCGATCCTGTTAGAACTTGTTCCTTTGAGCAGACTATAATCCAAGAACCTGCCCATGAGTTCAACTCGTGCATAAATTTGTGTTCCCGGATGTCTTACCATTTAAAAGAGGCCTCGGTGAAGGATGCCAATGCCACTCCACCTACAATCGGTACAAGAGAAGAAACCACCCAAATACTCGGCCTTTGTGTGGACAGCAATCAGCAGTCAGCCTGATCAGAAAGCTGAAAGCCAAATTGCTTCATCAACAATGATATAGATTACCCAGCAATCATACCGCAAGTTGGCAACCGCCTTCATAATGATTGATTCACAAGTAGGAAGAAAGAAGAAGAAGAAAAGTTGTTACCTCAGCAAGCAAAAGAGCAGAGAATCCAACTGTGAACAAGGGCTCCATGGCCTTGATTGTGTGAGTGAAGGAAACTGAAACTTTCCCAAGGCTAATGTTAGTCAATAAGTTTCCGACTGTGTGCCACACCCAAAGGTAGAACTGCCGCAAGCTGCCACCCAAGTCGAAAGATTTCAAAGAGATGGAGAAATGGCATACTACTAATCACACTAGTACTATCCCAACTTGTATCTAACCACCTACTATTTTGGGTTTATACAAAAGGTCTTGGTGCTATTAGTAATGATACTACATATTATATGTTGTATTCTACTCCGTTCGACATGGGATAAGTAAGTAGGTACCTGTGACCGAGTGAGATTTGGTCTGGGGTAGAGGTTAAGAGCCCACATCAGGATAATCATCACAGTCCCTCAGCCAAACTGAAACACGGTGACCGTTGCTGGGAATGGATACTTTCAGAATCTATGAACAAGCTCTGGCCTTCAAATTCTAGCTTCTTTTAGACGAAAACAAGAAGCGAAAACATGCATTTCAAAACAGGAAAAGACAACTAAAAACGTGGGGAGAATAGATGGTTAAAGACAATGAAGACAGAGAATGTACCTGTTTGCTGTAGATGTAGAAGTAAATATTCAAAAGGTACCAAATTCCGAACATTGAACCAAGCTGCAAGGTCTTGACCAACCCACTCTGTTTCGAGGCCTCATCAGCACTCTCGGGCACAGAAGCAGCCCTGACCTTCAAATTATCATATCTACGATTCGAGAAAATGAAGGAAGCATTGGAATAAGAAAAGTGTAAAGAGCTGTTTGCTATGAAAGCCTTTGAACTTTAGTCAGATTGTCAACTTGTATGAAGGACGTTGAGGGTGAAAGCTGAGAGGCATTAAGAAAAGAGTTTCGACACGGAGGTTTGAGAAACGAGGTGGAAGGAGACACAGCAAGCGCAGTGCTCTGCATCTTGATCTGAAGGTTTGGAATTTTGAGCAGGTGTTAAACGCTTTCAAGTCTCTGCATGAATACAAAACTGAAGGACAAATGGCGATCTTTACAATTTTCGCTTTGCAGTATAGGTTCCGCTCCAAGACCAATTAACGACAGAGAGGGTAGCTCAACTCCTTATAAGCACATGCAAGGCTCCCTAACTTTCCAATGTGGACCACACATCCTTGCAAGGATCAGAAATCCGAAGGGTTGACGAGTGGGATTAGTCATTTTCGGGGTTTTGTAAGCTAGCAGTGGAATGATTGGATTGCAATCCTGTGTACTAAATTAGCGAAGGTAAACATGTGACCTTCAGCACTTCAATTTTGAGGCTGATATTTTTTCCCTTCTGATACACCCAAAAATCACAAACACTAATTTTCAAAAGATTGATAACGACGAAGATACTGAATCGTAAGAAATTGGTCTAGAAAGGTTCATGATTGGTGTTGAGAAAGGGACTAAACACAAAATGGACATGCATTTTCTCTTTCAAATTGCTAACTTTCTGAATCATTGCAAGAATTCACATTACAGAACCAGTAAAAACGAAACCTCGTCCCAACTATTTGGGCTATTCGCGTTACATAACGTGCGAAGTTAACCACGTTCAAGAATCAGGCTTTATGTCTATAACTAGATTAAAGTTGCATACTTTACGAGAGGCATTTGAGTCTTGCAAATGTCAAATAGCCAGTGTGGCCTCTGGCGTCGCGACATGGCCTAGCCATGACCGTGGGAGAACCTGTAGTTTCCTGCACATTGCTTCCTTCATTTGATCGATGTTGCCTTTTACGTGGATGAGATCCAACAGAACCAGCTTCGTCGCCTTGGAAGTCATCCAATTTCCATTCTCGAACTTCATATGTGTGAAGGAGTATCTCAAACGTCCTTATATCTATACACATGCAGAAGATACAGATCTTACCATGGGAAATACATTTGTGAGAGAAAACACTTGAAAGAAGCAAAGTAAGTCCAAAAAACAACACATCACAAAGCACAAAAGGAGATAACTGCATCAAAAAGCCTACCCGTAAAGCTTGATCTCATAGTCTCTGACGCTCGTTGCACCTGTTCAATACACGGGGAGAAGGAGCATAGTACCCCATCTTGTTTCAACATTTTCGCAGCTGAAGGGATAGCCAACCAAGGTTGGGGTAAGTCCAGGAAGACAGAATCTGCCCTTCCAGAAAACTCATCCGGAAATCCTTCGTCCTGAATATCTCTTACTCCTACAGTGACCAAGTTGCTTAATCCCGTCTTCTCAAAATCCTCCCTATAGTAAAAATCTTGTCAGCCTTTCAGTAACGGTAGCCTACTTGAAACACAAGAAATGGCTTCATGTAAGTACAGAAACCGCTGGCTTCACGTGAAAATTACACCGCTTAATTTTCTTCAGTTTCTGTTTAAGTCGAACAAAGTTTTTGTGACGAAAAGTAATCATGAACGTATTTCACAATTCATAATTCCATATATCGAACTCAAAGTTCACATCTTCTGAAAGGCGGACCGTAAGTAAAGAAACCAATTTACACCAAAGCCATAACAAAACAACAAAAACAGCAGGGATTTCGATTTCTTACCTAGCCGAGACAGCGCGTTGTTCATGGAAATCAAACGTATAGACATGTCCTTTAGGAGCAACAGCCCTTGCAAGCGAAGTAGTCAAAGATCCACTCCCGGTCCCCGACTCAAGAACCAAACATCCCGGAACCAATTCCAAGAACATGATCACAAAGCTAATGTCTGCAATGTACAGAATCTGAGTCCTGTGGCTTAAAACCAAAGTCCAAAGCTCGGGAGTCGGAGCTAACAAGTAAACAAATCCTCCCTTGCCGCTGAAAACCTTGGAACCAAACTGCTTCCCTATCCAGTCTGAATGCTTAAACACGCCGAACCGGTTTCCGAGCACAGAACCGGCACACACTTCGACAGCTTTCATGGTATCATACTTCTCGTAGACAATGACCAAATCTCCATCACTAATGCAACGAGTAAAAGACAGCTTCTTTGTCGGATCAACAGGCAACATCCTTAAACCTGAATGTTTTTAGGTAAATTCACATACATAGGTATAAACAAATTTAATAAAAAAATTCAGCATTACAATAAAAGGGCAATCCTTTATCACACGACTAAAATTTATTTGGAAACCAAGCTCCGTCGTAAATTAAAGTAGTTTAGGAAATCGTATCTTTACAAAATATTAACAAAAGAAAGATAATAATATAAAAAGTTGCAGTAAAACTAAAATGTGCTTGCTTTTTTCAATCGAGCAGGTGATACCGAACCCCTCAAACAGTAGCTGCAGAAGAAGAAGAAGAAGCAGAAGAAGAAGAACCAGAGTAGGAGGACTGGGTTCACTGGAAGGACAGAGGAGGAAGAAGAAGAAGAAGAAGAGGATGGAAGGGAACCTGCGTTTCTGCTTCACAGCTTCAGTGAAGAGAGAAGGATGGACTCGTAGGTTGAGGATTCGAAGGGCTTTTTTGGTTAAAGAGGAAGAGAGAGACGAGAGGGATGGAACGTGTGAAAGAAGAGATGGGGTGCGGCAGTTAGGGGTTTGAATAGGAAAAAATTTGCACCATTTTTTACCGCTTTCTTATTAATTTTTATCCCTTAATCTTTCTTAATTCATTTAATTCAACGATTAAAATTTTTATTAATTAATAAAACACTTATAATCAACCAAAATTTTATAAAACTATCAGTTTAACCTTTTAATTAAAACAGAACATGAATAAGAAATATGGGACATAAATGTAATTTCATACAACTAAATTTTTTTTTTTTAAAGTCTCACCTACGTGTAATTCTAACATATCTCTAATTAAAAAAATTAAAAAAAAAAAAAAAACTTCCCACTCCCAAATTCTCTTTCACTCTCTTCCTCTCTACTTCTATTTCAAAAACAAAATAAAAAAATTTCTCACACACTTTGTGTGTGCCCATATGCTAGTTTTTTTTTAATAAACAAAATTATCTACATTAAGACCATCTCCAACCGACCCGGTCAAAGGATCATAAGGCTAAAAATAACTCGGAATGACATGAAAACCGTCTCCAGTTAGCCCTCTAGTGCCATAATGTCAAGTTTGACATTTTGCCAACCCTCCACCCCCAAATTGTCAAGCTTGACATTTTGCCAGCCCTCCAGCTCAGCCCATTTGAATGCCAACGGCCACTTGATGTCAACATGATGCCAGCTAGCAACGGCTAGCTAACGTTAGGTTACTGTTGGAATTTGAATTTTTTTTTTTTGATGAATTTAGAAAATATATATATTCTAATTTTTTTTTCCTATATATACCTACATCATTCATACAACATTAAAAGCTGAATATAAGACGTGTCACGTAGATAAGAATCTTATCTAAAATTTGCACAACCAATTAAATCTCGACACGTGACACTCGAAATCCTATCTGAAAAATTATTAAGAATACATAGAGATAAGAAATCTGAAGAGTTACTCACTTTAGTGACACGTGTCACTCGAAATCCTATCCAAAAAATTATTGAGATTACATAAAGATAAGAAATCTGGAGAGTTACTCATGTTAATGACACGTGTCACTAGAAATCCTATCCAAAAATTAGTGAGATTATATAAAGATAAAAAATCCGGAAGCTTATTCATTTGGCAACAAGTGGCACTCAAAATATGTTCGAAAACCTTATTTTAATATGGTAGTTTAATTTAATTAACCATATTATTTAATTAAAATAACAAATTATGTTTGGCATATAACCCTTTGGCCTCCTCAGTTGGAGATAATTTTTTGTCAAAGGGCTATGTTTGGCCTAAGGCCCCTTCGGTTGGAGATGGTATAAAATATGGCCTAGCATTGTTCATTAAAATATCATTTCTGGCATGGCTGACAATCAAAAATTAAGAAGAGCGCATAGCACTATCTAAAATTTAAAGGGAAATTTGGTTAAATGCGGCCAAAAAGGTTTTTTACCTCCTTTTAAAAACTTTTATTTTTCTAAAAAATGGGACAATTGGCCAATATTACGATGTAATAATATTCCTCTTCATTTGTAACTAAGAGATTTTAGATTTGATTCTCACCAAAAGAGAATTTGAACCCACGTTATTGCTAGGTCATTGTAAGACTTTGTCCACTCTTCCACCACCTTATTGTAGATAATATCATTTGTTAAAAAAAAAAAAAGGAAAACTAGTAACAAACCACAGTTATCCACCCCTTCCGTGCCCAGAGGAAGCTAGTTCGAAATTACATCCTAGCTATACCTGGCTACAATGAAGCAGATTCACAGCTTACAAACTTTTAAATATCTACCTTTTTTTCCCTGCTACGGTATAGTTTGCACTAATAGTGAGGTTAAAACATTAACTCCTGTCAAAATTGTTTCCCACTTTATTTAATTTTTTTAAACTAATGTATTCAAGTCTTTGACTCAACTAATCATTAGAAACCCCCCGCGCCTAACCCCATAATATTGGAAACAAGAATGCTCTTAACAATTGCTATGTGGGTCGATACCCAGACCACTTGAGAGCAAACCAAGAGCCTGACCGCTAGACCAACAACTCTTAGGTTTCCCCCCTCATATCAATGTCAAGGACGAGATATGGTGTAACCAGCAAGACATATGATGACTTCCAGGGTATCGGAAAACTCACATCAAGACTCAATCAATTATATAGAACATTCAGGCACAGTTACTGAAACACATCCGAATCGAAACATATAAATACTAACTGAGATTTTACAAATACAAGTTGAATGTGCGTTGTGTTCTGAAAAGGTGGTAACAGATCAACAGAAGCACATTACTGAAATTATTCTACTTTACTACTAATTATCCAACTATCATCGAACTTCCTTAAGCAGAAGTTTTGGCAACAGCTCCGGCTTGAGTCAGCAGAGGGACCAATTTTCCTTCCTTGTGCAACGCCGTTGTTTCTGCACAACGACATCAAATAATATTATTCAATAAGATAAGATAAGATAACAAAGTAATGTCAAAGACATACAATTCCAATAGCCATGGTTAAGGCGGGATTTGGCTCTGTTATGGGGTATATCCTCGGTTGTATGTAAGAATCTATTGTGATTAAGGGATTCAAAATCTTACTGTCACATCCACCGATGTGGTTTCCACCAATGAAAACATTGGGCACAGTCCGCTGGCCAGTCCACTCTCCCAAAGCTGATTGTATCTGAGCTCCGTCACCTTCAAAATGCAAGAACAAAACCGGCGTCAATAAAACTCGGATAAAATTTATACTTCAAAAATAACACATGCTGCATTAGATTGAGAAGGGAGATGTCCATCTCATTTCACAAAATATAACGTGAGCAATCGGTACTTAAAAGTGACATAATCAAGAGTTAGTCCCAACTTTTTTCAGTTGAGCGATTTTCTAATCTAGTCTAAACTACGTGAGGGGAAATATGAACTTGGGTGCAAAGGGTGCGAAATTGTCCCATTAAACACAAAGAAAATGGAACTCGTAAAACCACCAATTTCCAGTTAACAATTTGACTTCTTCCAACAACACGTACATTTGGGAGGTAGCTCAAAAACAAACTTTACATCGAAATATCGAATACAGATTAGCAACAGCGAGTGATAGTTTTGACCGGCTATCATATGTAATTAGCAAACAAAAGAAAAATTCACCCCGTAATGGAATACCGAAAGATACAAAGGGACATGTTTATAATTCTTCAAATGACAAATCCAAAACAACCAAACAAGGAGGACTTTTATATGTATGTATGTAAACCAATTATATGATATGCATACAGAGCCGGCACTGAGGGTAGCCGGGGTAGGTGGCTCCCAATGTATAAGACCTTCTTCAACCTTGGGCTAAAACTTAAATTTCCACTTCTATTCGCCCGTGCCCACCCCCCCCCCCCCCCCCCTCTTCTCTTCAACCCAATGCTAAAATGTGGCATAATACCTAAAACTCAAATGGAAGCTAAATTTAACCTAGGATTAGTAGGGTTGCCCACTATATATATATTTTATATTTATAAATACATTAAATCTAACGGTTAAGATTTAATTTGATGAAATTCAACGATAAAAAAAAATAATTTAACGATCCAAATTTAAATTTAACGGCCGAATAATTAAAAAAAAATCTTCCATTTGTTTCATATTTTTTCATAGTGTTTAACGAGTTTCATAGTATCGATTAGTGATTTTTCAGTATTTGTCAGAATCTAAATATTTTTAGGTTAAAATATTCATAAAATTAAATTATGATAGTCTACATAATTTTTATTTTAACAAAGTTACTTTTAAGAAAAAAAATTAGTTTAAATTCATTCTTTACTAATAATGAGGCTAAAATTTCAGAGCAGAAAGGTTGGAGACGGTCTAAAGGGTCCGCCCCACTTCGAAGTCTCGCCAAGGGCCGCAAACTCTCAGAGCTGGTCCTGTATGCATATCATACATGCATAGATATGTATATACACATACGGATACGAACAATATGTTATTACAGCTAAAAATAGTTAGAGAGAAAGAGAAACTGACTTTCTTTGTCCAACTCAATGGCCTTGTAGGTGGCTCCCAATTGAGTCAAGAGCTGCTTCACGTTCACGCAGAACGGGCAATACGTCTTGCTGCAATTACAGATCCATATATATATAACAATTAGCATTTCTTAAATGCGAGATTTACTAACCAGTAATCGTGATTAAATTACAATGAGAAAAATTAAGAACCTGAAGACGACGACCGAGTCGGAGGACACGAGCTCCTGCGCCTTTGTCAATGCCATAACGCTATCTCTAAATCCCAATTCGCAAACCCTAAATTCTGACTTCCTAACAATCTTCTTCTCTCAACTCTCTCTCTCTCTGAAAAATGCAGAGAGTGTGTATATATGCATGTGTTGTGGGTGGCGCCACGTCGTACTTCGATTTTTCCATTGGTTCTCGTTGGACACGTTATGGCCTTTTGTTGTCTTTTTTTTCGAACCACAAGATTGACGTTCATTGCTGTCGCAAAGTTTTATCTAATACCACTCTGCCGACGTCATGGCGTCCGTCAATGACTGTTTGCCAAACCATCATGCTTAGGAGTGCAAATTTTTTTATTTTTTTTTAATAAATGAGATTATCTACTTTACAAGGATAGAGGTAATTTAAATTTTACATTGGGATGCAATAATATAATTTAAATTCATCTTTGGAAAGAATTAAATTTAAAACCTCTCATTTACAATTGAAGAAGAATACCAATAGATCGTAATACTAAGTTGAATAGGAATCTTCAATTCCGACCAATTCAAAGTCGAAATATTTTGTCCGGTTCAAATTAGAAACGAAATTCCAACATCTGAAAAAGTCCGAAAAAATATGGATAGAACTTGAAATGTATTTAATATTTTGAATCCGATCTGAAATTCTGAAACCTACATAACTCTATTACATACAAAATATGTACTCAAATGTGTAACTATTTTTATAATTACATATAAAAAATGAGAACTTGAGACTAAATTTTATATTATGCACAGAGAGTCATGAAGATGACATTCTTTTATATTGGTATTGATAAAGTCATACAACTCCCAGAATTTTAAAATCCTGAAATAATCTAATCTGAAAATACCGAATTCGGCTTGAGCTTATGAATACCCCAATTCCGATTCCAAATTGGATTGGAATTGGAATTGGAATTGGAAACATGTATTTCCAATTTGATCCGACCAAAAATTAAGTCTATACTCACGGGCGTTGATAAAAGAATGAGGATCCTCTTTGTAAGGATTCCGAAAATCCTTAAATCACGTCCGTTCATCATACATCATGCAATCATAAATCATTGAAAAAAATCCAAATTAAAGCGTTAAGTGAAGTGTGCACGCTTCGTGTATCTCGGCTAGCAAAAGCAAAATCTACCTTGTGTAAGCTGGTATGGTATTAGTTGGAACCAAATCCCCTCCAAATTCAATAAAACTGAGCCTACTGAGCAGACCATCCGGACCGTTGACAATTGATCCAACAACTACAAACATGAAGCTCTCTAAAAGTTATAATAATTGTAACCGTTTGATCAAATTTCAATTGTCCGAATCGTTTGCTTAACAGACTCAGTATATATGGATCCGGAGGGGATCTGTTTCGTATTAGTTTACTAGCAAAAGCAAAATCTCGTTTTTGTCACGGGAAATAGTGGTCACACAAAATTAATCATCGTTGGGCAATGAAAATGCACACACCATTGTAATCGTTCTTGTTAATTGATGAAATATTTCTATCGTTTCTTGCCAAAAAAAAAAGAGGAGTCAACTTTATGCATCATGTGTACGAAAAATAACTTGTCTGAAACAAACAAAAAAAAAACTGCAAAAAAGGATGAAAATATTCAGTTTAGTTGAAATATATGTTCTGCTCGCTAACCCAATGATTAAGGGAAGGAAAAATTCCTTGTCGAACAGGTTCTCTTATTTCCATGTACCGGGTCACAACCACAAAACTGCAGCTATTCATGCCAAAGAACTTTTCCGACATGGTCATCTTGTAGATTAGCATCGATCTAGTTAAACTGCTACAGGTTCCAGAAGCTTTTTCTTAACATTCTTTGCGACAGCGTCAATGAATTCTTCGGTGTTCAAGTAATACTCCCTCGATACCCTGCAGGTAACACAAGCATCTTAGTTTAGTCCCCCAAGAACAATCCCGTCTGGCAAATTCCGTCACCACCATCAGATGAACTGATACAGTTCCAAAAAGAAAACTAAGGAAGAACAGTGGTATTTCATTTTCCCTTTTTATTGCACAATCCAACTGAATGTAAGTAACCTTGTTAAACAGAGCCAAGAATCGACTTACTTGGGGCCATGGATCAAAAGGGCGAGATCCTTGGTCATCTTTCCACCCTCCACGGTCTCAATGCACGCAGCCTCCAACTTGCGAACAAAATCCAGCAACCTATCATTTTTATCTAATTTTGCCCTGGAAGCAGTAAATATAGTCAGGTTATCTGGCGCTAAGAAAAAATGCAGGCCAAAATGATTTATCTGACAGTTAAATAACGAAATGTCATTCTTACAAAAGGCAGATTGCCACTGTAAAGCACGTTGTCACACTTCATTATTCCGAAAAGTAACCATAGAACACTAAGATACAGTGAACTTTGGCTTGCAAAGTGTACCTGTGTTCTAGGCCTCGTGTCCATGCAAATATTGAAGCAATACTATTTGTACTTGTTTCTTGTCCTTTCTGATGTAACCGAAAATGACGAGTTACTGTCCCATGAGCTGCTTCAGCTTCTATTGTCTTGCCATCTGAGGACAACTGCACAAACTGTGGTTAGTTTTTGTAGCATACAAATGAGGAAAGTTAATGGTGATACGTACCAACACAGAAGTCATGAGGCCCAAAGACCCAAATCCTGCAAAAACCAAAACAAACTATTTAACTTCAGAAAGAGAGAGAGAGAGAGAGAGAGAGAGAGAGAGAGAGCAATTCAACCTCACCTTGAGCAAGCAAATCACTCATAACATCTCCATCATAATTTTTGCAAGCCCAAACATATCCACCCTCACTTTTGAGTGCATAAGCCACCATGTCATCTATTAGCCGGTGTTCATACCTAAATGCCAATACAATCATCAATAAACAATTTCAAAATATGCCACACAACATTGGATGAATCAGTATTTACGATAAACAATACAAACCATATAGAATTTTCTTCAAACTTCTGCTTCCATTTCTCAACATAAACCTCCTCAAATATGTCCTTAAACCTGTGGCAGTCCGAGAACTCAACATTTTGTATAATTTCTACAAAATAATAAATTAATATAGAATTGATAGTTGGATGTTGACAGATTCTTCCAACAAATGTAAATTTACCTGCCATCGTATTTTTTAAGAATAGTGTTTTTAGTGCTCAAGTATAGCGGCCACTTCTTGGAAAGAGCCAACGACATTGACGAGTCAGCAAAAGCTCGAATAGACTACCAAATAAAACAAGGTTTTGTTAGCAGAGTTTATCAGCCTAAATGCACAAAAAAGGTATGTTATGCCCAACGTGGTAACACAAACCTCATCAACATTATACATAGAAAGGGCCACACCAGGCCCTTTGAAATTATAAACATCAAGTTCCACAGGGGCATCTCCTCCTTCTGGGACTGAGCATTAGAAACAGATAGATGTCAAGCAAAAACCATATCCAATGGAAAATTACTTCACCAGAACAATCATATGAGCTAGAATGTTGAAATCAACTTACCGAAAACCATTTTAAGTTTTCCTGGTCCTTTAATAACCGTATCAGTGGCTCGATACTGATCGCCAAAGGCATGCCTACCAATACATATGGGTTTCTTCCAACCTGTAAATCAGACATGTATTCAGCACTTCCCACAACATTTTACTCACAGTCAAGTTTAGAAATGAGTTCAAGCCATTACCAGGAACTATTCTAGGGATGTTTTTACATAGGATAGGTTCACGGAAAACAGTACCTACAAATAAAGCATTGCATTTCAATTAGAAACTGTTCAAACAGTAAGGTAACCTTTCAGATGCTCACTCAAATATTTGCAAGTTGTAACTCATTAACAAAATGAATGAATAACGAACTATGAGCATTATAAATTCCGTTTCATTTTCAAACGAGAGAACTTTATTTATTCGATACAAACCGTCTAGAATGTTTCTAATTGTGCCATTGGGACTCCTCCACATTGATTTCAGCCCAAATTCCTTCACTCTGGTCTCATCTGCAAGGTATATGATAAATTGAAATTAGATGAAATACAACTATTCTTTCCATAAGATAACAGTTAAATGTCCAGGCAGAGCAGCTAGATCATCTGATCGCTAAGGAAAGTATCCAAGTAGCCAGAATGTCTGTTATAAAGGGTTTAAGGTCCTCGTGATTGTACATACAAAACCAGCATTGTATAAAAGTAAAAACAACTAACCAGGAGTAATAGTAGCGCATTTCACAGCAACGTTATACCTGCAAGGCATTAAATGTTAAAATTAAACAAATAGAAGAAGCAAATACCAACGATTCAAGGTTCATTTGGAAGTGCTTTTAAAATAACTGATGCTTCTTGCAGGAAGAACTTCAAGTGTTTTTCTAGGATTCACTTGCATTTTTACTAAGGATTGGTTCCAAAAATATGTTTACCAAAAAGCGCTTTTAGTCGTTTAAAAGCACTTCCAAACGAGGGTAAGAAACAAAAATGCACCAAATAAATTCTGAATTAAACTACTTACTTAAGAGCTGCTTCAGCACTCTCTACTGTAACTCTGTCATCGGTAGCATCACGGTTCAAAATCCCTAAATCGTAATACTTTATATCCAAATCCAGATAGGGAAAAATAAGCTGCAAGAGCACACGACCGAAAAAACTCGGATTAAATCAAATCAAATTCGACATAAAATAGCATCAGTAAACTGAAATTCACACCGAAATGAATCTTCACACTTTGTCTTTAATCGTTTTCCATATGATCCTCGTCATTTCATCACCTATTGACAAAATAATACCATAATTAATACAGTACACAATCACAACGTCAACAATTAAGCTCAAGAATTCGCTTCATCCTACTCCTACAAGTTATGATCCGTTTGGTTGCTGCTAAAATTCATGAAAATATGAAAGAACAATACGGATTTTCACACAAGTTTCCATCATCTTATGATTTTAACTCTGTTCATTATCTCAGTGCTTTCTCATTAATCAAACAGAGCATCGGTTAGGAAACTGACCGTCCATTTCGACAATCGGATTCTGCACCCGAACTTTATCGAAGCCGGCGGAAGAAGCGAAGCACCGCAGCGAAGTGCGGCTGCAGCGGGCGGCGAAGGAGACGCGGTTCCCGACAGGCACTCCATTGAAGAGCCTCGGTGACGA